GCATCATCATAATCATCCTCATCATCAACAGCCTCATCATCATCATCATCATCATCATCATCATCATCATCATCATCATCATCATCATCAGCATCAGCATCAGCATCATCATCATCATCATCATCATCATCATCATCATCATCATCATCATCATCATAGTCATCCACTTCATCATCGTCATTGTCATCATCACCAACCCCCTTGTCGTCTTCGTCGTCGTCATCATCATCATCACAATCATCACCATCGTCGTCGTCATCAGCATCATCGTCGTATTCATCATCATGACCAAACCAAACAACATCGCCAGTATCATCAACAGTAACGTCACTGTCAGCATCATCATCAGCGGCATCGTCATCAGCAGCCTCTTGGTATTCATCCTTATCATCACTGCCACCACCACAATCAGCATCAGCATCATCATCACCATCGTCATCATCATCGTTGTCGTCGTCGCCGTCGTCATCGTAATGAGCAGCATCACCGCAACCACCTCCATCACCATAACAACCATCATCGCCGTCGTCATTGCCATCGCCTTCATCGTCGTCAACGTCATCGATCGCCATCCTCATCCTCATCGTCATGATCTTCAGTACCACCACGATCATCATCGCCACCACCATCCTCAGCACCATCAACACGGTCATAGTCACCACCATCATCATCATCATCATCATCATCGTCGTCGGTGTCGCCGTCATCATCACGACCATCACAACAATCGTCATCATCCTCGTCATCATCATCATGATCATCAGCATCACCATCAGCATCATCATCGTCCTCGTCCTCGTCCCCCTCCTCGTCATCATCATCAGCATCATCGACATCAGCATCAGTATCATCGCCAGCATCATCATCAGCAGCAGCAGCAGCATCGTCATCGTCATCGTCATCGCGTCGTCATCATCATCATCATCATCATCATCATCATCATCATCATAATCATCATCATCGTCCTCCTCCTCACATTCCTCCTCGACGTCGCCATCATCACCACCACCCCTATCATAAGCAGCAGCAGAATCGTCATCATCGTCATCATCGTCATCATTATCCATCAGCAGCAGCAGCATCATCCTCAGCATCATCATTACCATTCGTTGTTATCATCATCATCATTATCATCATTATCATCGTCATCATCATCATCCTCATCAGCATCAGCATCAGCATCAGCATCAGAATCATCATCAGTATCATCATCATCATCATGATCATCATCATCGTCATCATCAGCATCATCATCATCATCGTAATCGTCATCGTCATCATCAGCATCATCATCAGCATAAGCATCAGCATCAGCATCCTCATTATCAGCATCAGCATCAGCATCATCATCGTCCTCGTCATCGTCATCATCAGCAGCAGCAGAATCGTCATCGTCATCGTCATCGTCAGCATAATCAGCATCATCATCACCATCGTCATCAGCATCGTCATCATCATCATCATCATTATCAGCATCATCATCATCATCATCATCATCATCATCATCATCATCATCATCATCATCATCATCATCATCATCATCATCATTACCATCAGCAGCAGCAGCATCATCACCCCCCATCCCCACCATGATCCAATGATCCCCCTCCCCCTCGCTTTGCGGCGCGCACAAGGGGGTAGGGTGAGGGGGGAAGGCTCCTTAGAACGAGGCTGCTTCTTAGAAGGCGCCGGCCCTACACCTATAGATAAGGTCCGCGCCTTCCAAAAGCCAGGGGTGCTTCTAAGAAGCCTCCCCCCTTCCTCCTACCCCCCTCTGCGAGTGGCCGACTCCCCCTCCCCCTCGTCACCCTCCCCTTCCTCCCTCCCCGCGGTCGCCCCCGACGGCAGCCTGCGCCAACTCGCCGCGCATCTTCAGCGCCCTATGTCCCTGCGCCTCGACAGGGGGAGCCCACAAAGGACGTACGCGCCCAGCTATGTGCATGAACACGGCCCCTCGATCCGCGACACTGGCCGCGTGGCACGAACACTCGGGCAATGCGTACTCTCGAAACCAGCGTGGATTCATGTACGTGTACGTCCTTCTTTCGCTCCTCATCAGCCCTCGTGGCCGGGGACTTCAGTAACATTGCCGAGATGCGCCTGTCGCCGACGCTGCACAGAGAATAGGGATGATGATGAAGATGATGACGACGACGACGACGAGGACGGCGACCACGACGACGACGACGACGACGACGACGACGACGACGACGAGGATGATGATGATGATGATGATGAGGATGATGATGCTGATGCTCAGTCCACGCCCCCAGAAGCCCGCAGCGGGGCGTCGCGCGCGGGGCCAGAGGGAGGCACCTGGACGAGCGAAAAGCCGACTCGGGTGAGCTGGCCCGCACGCCGCCCCCACGAGCGAGCTGGTCCGGCACAAGTCAAGGGGCCTAAAGACACACAAATAAATACACAAATGACGAGATTCCCCATGTTGTCGCATCTTTTCTCGGTTTTTGTCTCCCCCCCACTTCCCATATTTTCCCATATCTTCCTGGGAGTCGACGATTGATTGTGTCTGTGTTTTTCCCCCTCCTGAACAAGACCGTGGAGAAAACTGGCATCCCCTGGGGATACGATTTTGTTGCACACCACCCCGACGAACAAGCTGATCTGGCACAGGGTAATTACGCGCGCGGGGCGGTGGCCCTAAATCGTCCCCCATCAGTGCACAGGAAAGGATAGTGCCCACCCTGCAGGCTCGGTCAGCAGCACGTCGGAGGGAGAGGGATGGGGCGGCACGGAGTAGGCCATGATCAGTTAGCGCCGGATCAGGAAATCGGATCTGATTGCGATTCGCGCCGGACAGGGCCGCATCGGCATGGAGCCGAGATCGAATCGGATCTGCCGCGCTAGGATGCACGACAGCATGCAAGCACCCGGCCGCATGGGATCGCCAGAGCATCGGGATCGAAGCGGATCGGGCCAGCCGACATCGATACCGGACGGGATCGGACCGCAATGGACCCTGGTGAGCCCAAAGTCTAATGTCACGGGAAAAGGCAGCATCGTGGAAATCACAACCGGAGACCCCGACCACAGCTGTCTGCAGAAAAAATCTCGAGCCAGGTCGAGGCGTGAGGGCCTCAGGGCCTGAAGGAGGCTGCACGGGAGTACAGTCGGGGCGTGGACAAGGAACCCTAAATAAGGAACGAGGCCCCTTTTCTCCATAGGTTAACCTTCGACTTCCTGTCGAAAACATAAGGAAAGCCTGAGGCAAGCTGTGCAACACTTAAGGAACGCGGATCCCCTTCCCAACGAAAAGGGTTCCTTCTTCAGGGCCCCGACTGTAGGCCAGGATCAGTCAGCATCGCATCGGGAGGTCGGACCGAATCGGCAGGTGCGTCGGATCGGGCCGCGTCGGCACTGAGCCAAAACATCGAGCTGGATCGGACGCACCCGGGTGCGCAGCGGCGCCCGTGCAAGGCGCAAGCATCTGGCCGCGTCGATCGCCAGAACATCGGAACCGAATCGAATCGGGTCGGCTGAGAGGTACATTTTCAGTGTCCGCTTTCGTTTGGTCCTCTTTCGATTCGCCCTTTTCCTTTCGTCCTCTTCCGAAATCTGGGCGAATGGAAACTGGACGACCCGAAGCGGACGAAATGTTGTGGTTGCCACGACAATGGACACCCTAACAGTCCTACCATCGAATTAAAGAAGTGCTTACATTGTAGGAAAATGTCCTGGAAATGTTTGAAACATGTTTTTACCATGTTAGAAGCAGTTTTTACACATGTTCTAGACATCTGGAAATTATTGGGCAACATGCTTCCTCTCCGTTGATCGTCCTCCACAACCTTTCGTCCTCTCCCGAAATCTGGGCGAATGGAAACTGGACGACCCGAGGCGGAGTAAATGACATTCGGACGAAGCGGAGCGGAAAACTGCTGGACTCGGAGCCCGCCGACCGCTCCGCGGCGGCGCGGCCGCCGAGGCTCCCGGCCGTGCCGCGCGGGGCCCTCGGCCCCCGGGGTTCGGTCGGGCACGTCCGCCCAGAGGCAAATTGTAGTCAGGCGAGAAATCACAAAAATGCTCAAAAGATAGAACAGTGGACAGACATGGCCGGAAGATCGTCCCCGGGCCATTTTTCTGGCATCTCTGCATACGTTCCTGCTGCAGAGGGGCAGGGCCGCCTTCACCCTGGGGAGGCGCGGGCGTGCAGCCTCGGCGCGCGGGGCCTGCAGGCCGCGGCGGCGGGGGCCGGGAAGCCGCGCCGGCGCCAGGCGCAGGACAGGGCTGGACCGAAGCGTTGTGCTTCGGGTCGTATTCGTGTTGTGGTTCGTTTTGCTCTGCCTGCTTTCCCGTGCCTCCCTGCCAAAACAACCAAAAAAAAAAAAAACGCAAAACACAGCCGAAGCCCAGCAGAACGGCGTTCAGGTCCAGCCCTGGCGCAGGACGACCGCTCCGCAGGAGGCACATCTTGTCATCGCTCGGACTCCGACGTCCCATTCCCGTGTATGCTTCGAGTTCTTTCGAACTTGATCCAAGATGCTCCTCAACGGTCCTCGCCGAGGAACAGATGCGTACGTCCGAGCGATGCCAAGACATGGGCGACGAAAAGGCAGGGGACCTTTCCTACCCGCGATGGCTTAGCGGCCTTACGCGGCGGCCTACGCGGGCCGCCAGCGCGGCACACCACACTGGAGACGAGGGCGCTCGCGCGCGACCTTACGCGGGAAGCTTACGCGCCAATGCCAGCGCAATCAACCCGTTTTGTTCCCGTCGCTCACACGTGCACCACCACCGTGCCTGGCCAGAACCGTCCTGGGCTTCCACGGTGTGCAGAGCTCCTGGCCTCGGTGGGGAGGGCGCACGCGCCACGCCAGGGCCCGGGGCAGCCCTTGGCAGGCGCGGCGGGATGGAAAGACGTCTCGAGAGGACGGCGCAGGCCGCTGCCTGGCGCCTGGCGGCGCGGCAGCCACGGCGGCGCCGGCGACGGGCGGCATCGAGACTGCCGGTCGCAGCATCCAAGAGGCGGGGGGCGCGACGAGGCAGCGCCTGACGAGGCCGCCGCGCCACTCGCCGTGGGCAGCGGGGCGGACGCGGCGGCGGCAAGGCGCGCGCCACGCACGGAGCCACGAGGCGCACGAGGCCACGGCCTGGGAGCGCACGGCGGGCAAGTGAGCGCGTGGGCACCGTGCTCGTTCAGCGTGGCGCTCCGCCGTGCGAGGGGGGCCTCGGCGGCCTGGGCGGCGGCGCCCAGCCCCGAGGCGGTCGCGCGCCCAGCGGCCGCAGCGGCGTAGAGGCGAGCAGGCCAGTGAGAAGCCAGCGCAGCTGAGCGCCCCAGACATCACACAAACACACACACACTCACACACACACACACACACACACACACACACACACACACACACACACACGCGCACGCACGCACGCACGCACGCACGCACGCACGCACACGCACACACACACACACACACACACACACACACACACACACACACACGCACACGCACACACACACACACAGGGTGAAGAAGGTCGGCCAAGTCCGCCCGAGCTGGCGCGAAGAGCCGCAGGGGCGCCTGGCGGGACGGATCCCCCCCCCACCCTCGAAGTGGTATGCAGCCCGCGTCGCCACGCACTGCCAGCAGAACCTCACGTCGGGCAACAGGCCTGCACCACCAGGGTATGGCCTGCGACTCGCAAGGCCACCAAGATTGAAGCTGGAGCGAGAACCCACGAGCCCGAACCCGCACGCACGCGTTCAGCACACGATCGCCGTCGACGCAAGCTCTCACACCACGAGGCCAGACCCCCGCCCATACAAGCCCAGAGCTCCTCTCGGCACTCACAGCAGCCGCTCGCCCCGCGGGCATCTGGCGTGAACAAGTCGAGGCGGCCCTGTGGCACCCTTCGGTCGTGCTGGCGCCGGGCGCTGGCGCGCCCGCGCACGCGGGGTGCAGGCGCTGGCCACGGACGAGCGCGCCGCGTTGGCTCTCTTGGCCGAGGCGGGGGCAGGCGGGCGGCGATCCGCGACACGCGGGCGGTGGCGCTGGCGGCGCCCGCCACGGGACCGGGAGTTGCCCCTGCAGGTGGCCATTTGCGCTGGCAGGCCGAAGAGAGAACGCCACGCAAATGCGGACACACCCCTTGCGGAGCCAAGATCGCCTGACTTCGCGCATCCCGCCCCGCGACGCGTGACGCGCGATTTATCTTCACGCCATCGCGCAACCACCTTGGAGAAGGGCAACCGCTCTGGCGCGAGGCGCGATTATCTTCGCGCCCCTGTGGATGACCTACGGAATCTGCAGAGCACCCGCCGAACAGCCACGATATCTGGCGGACAGCCATCGCGCCGCACTGAATACAGGCAGATGCCGGTCAGAAGGTCACCGCTGCACTCGTGTCGATCAAGCGTGACACCCGTCAAAGGGAGAACCGCCACCCTGACGCCTTCGCCTCGGATGGCGGGCCGCGCGCCGACGTCGCCAGCTGTGGGCTTCAGGACCGCTCCGCAACCAGTGCGGTGGGGCCATCCCGCACGGCAAGAACCAGAGGCGCGGCTGGGGCTTCCCAGGCGAACGTGCATCCACACGGACATGACACGGTGTTTCCTCGAGGATTCAAAGCATCGTTGGGAGGACACCACGTGACTATTTTGTGCTAGCCACCACTGGGCACGACAAGGGCTTCCCAGCCAGGCCAACGGTGCTACCCACAACTGGGCACCACGAGGGCTTCCCCAGCCAGGCCAACACAATCCCAGCCCAGTGGAGCAAGGATCGTAAAGCTAAGAGCCAACGGGAAAACGCAACGACCCAAACGCGAATCCAGCAGCGCGCGCTTCCAGGGTGTGGAAGGGTGGGCAAATTGAGCGGCGGACGGGAGTTGGACTGCGGTGCCGAATGACAAAACTCTGAGTCAAAGTGTTACCGACGTTAGGGATGGATGCAAAGAAATAACACACTCGAGGACACGTGCACTTCCGTCCTGTAGCCCAGCTCCCGCCGCGCACAATTAAGGGTGACAAAGGGGGACCTTCCGTCCTGCATCCCGGCTCCCCGCGAAGTCCGAGGCCTCGTGTCGCAACAGCGGCGGCGGGACTGATCTCGGCGCAACGAACCCTCACCGAACCTTTGTGCCGCCCCACATGGGCGTGGTGATCACACGAAGCGGCCGCTGGTGGGCAAAGACGTCGCCCTGGCCCCATGCAGAGGCATGGGCTGGGGATGCGGAGGAACGGCCTCTGGGATGGTGGCAGCGCGCCGCATGGCCCAGAGGGCGCGGGCGGCAACCGCCCCCAGCCCCGCCCGCCGAGTGGAATGTTGGAGGAGGGTGACGTCAGCCAGCACGGACGCACGCGAGGGCACACAGGATGGGAGTTCCGCAGCGCGCCCGCACCGCAGTGGGTCGGGCACGGAGGGGCTCCCAGTGCAAGCCAGGAGGAGGGGATGAGGGAGGAAAGAGGAGGAGGGCGAGAAGCGAGAGAGAGAGGGGGAGCGAGATGGAGAGGGGAACGGGGAGGGAGACGGGGAGCGGGAGGAGGGAGGGGGAATAGGGAAGGAGGAGGAAGGAGGAGGAGGGAGGAAGGATTATCACAGGCCGCTATATGCTTACGGGCGCCCATCGGCCAGACAAAGGAGGCCAAGGGAGAGCGGGGGCGGAGTGAAGCGACAACGGGAGGTGACAAGACTGCCTGGGGCTTCGGGGGCTTGGCAGGTAGAGATGCATTGGGCATATGCGAGAGACGAGGTCGGCTGGCCAGGCAGAGAGTGAAGGTCGGTGGGGAGGACGAGCAAGGCGACAACGGACAACGAGGACGACGACGACGACGACGACGACGACGACGACGAGCCCGTGGCGCCTCGAACGATGTCTTGGCCGACCCGAGCGCGGCCTTTGCCTGGGCGGCCGCCTGCCGGCGCGGGCCCCGGCCGGCTGCCGCCGCTCCGCCGCCGCGGCCGCCCTCGGCCTCGGCCTCCCCGCCTTCCCTGGGCAGGCTGCGGGCGCGGCCTGCGCGGAGCGGCGGTGCACGGCGGGCACGTGCCCGCCCGCCCCGCCGCGCCCGCCAGCGCGCCGGAGCGCGCGAGGGGCAGCAGGTAAAACAGGGCTAGGATCGGGATAAATCGCTCCAGAGCGTTCCGGAGCGCTCTCAGAGCGTTCCGGAACGCTCTGGAGCGGCCGCGGCGCCCAATACATCCTCCAAACCCGCCGATTCTCAGAGATTTCGAGTTATCCCGATCCGATTTTGTCCCGATCTTCGTGTCGTTTTAGCAGGGGTGCACTGCAGGCAGGGAGAGCACTCACCAGGCCGGACCAGACTCCTGCCTCCCCAACTCCACATCCGAGCTCCTCCTCCACGCACTCCTCCACCCAGCAGCAAGAAGAACACGATGGCGGGGCATCGGCCTCCTCGCCCTCCTTTTTCCCGGAAAAGGCAGGGGCCCAAGGTTCTCTTTAGTGTGGAAACTTGTCCCTGGTGCCAAGTTCGAAGAGGGACGAAAGATTCTTTCCCCGATAAATACCGAGGTCGAAGAGGGCCAGCGGATTAAAGTTTGAGGATGTCCCGAGCGAAACGCTGGTGTTTAACAGTCCGATCGACATAACATGGTAAAATAAGCATATTCGTTTGTTGCGGATGTCTCGAGCGAAACGCTTGTTGTGCATACTTTGTTGAGGATGTCTCGAGCGAAACGTTTGTTTTGTGCTATAGATCGTTCCTCTCCTGGGGACCAGAATTCAGAGGACGCCTCAGGTGAAATGCATGTTTTCACGCGCCCACGTCTTGAGGATGTCTCGAGCGAGACGCTTGGTTTCACGCCTCCTGGGTGCCCAGGCAGATGTCTAGCATCAGGATTTGTTGAGGATGTCTTGAGCGAAACGTTTGTGTTTACGCGTCCAGGTCGTCCAGGCAGATTTCTTGCATGAGGTTTTGTTTCGCGTGTCCAAGTCACCCATGCGGACGCCTAGTATGAGGATGTGTTGAGGAGTTGTTGAGCGAAAAGCTTGCTTTCACGTGTCCAGGTCGCCTAGGCAGATGTCTAGCATGAGGATGCGTTGAGAATGTCTCGAGCGAAACGCTTGGTTTCACGTGCCCGGGTCGCCCAGGCGGGTGTCTAACATGAAGATGTGTTCAGGATGCCTCGAGCCAGACGCTTGCTTTCAGGTGTCCACGTCGCCCAGGCGGATTTCTAGCATGAGGATGCGTTGAGGACGTGTTGAGCGAAACGCTTGTTTTCACAGGTCGCCCAGGCGGATGTCTAACATGCAAAGGTTCGGAGGATGTCTCGAGCGAACCGCTCGTTTTCGCGTGTCCACGTGACCCAGGCGGATGTCTAGCATGAGGATGGGTTGAGGATATGTTGAGCGAAACGCTTGGTTTCACGTGCCCAGGTCGCTCAGGCAGATGTCTAGCATGAGGAGGGGTTGAGAACGTCTCGAGCGAGACGCTTGGTTTCACGTGTCCACGTCACACAGGCGGATGTCTGACATGAGGATGTGTGTTGAGGATGTCTCGAGAGAAACGCTTGTCGCAATAGAGCGCGTCGCAATTCAACCCTGCCAGTCCGTGCGGCGTCCCCTGGCGCCCTGGCGCGCGCCCTGGCGCGTCCCTTGCGACGTTCAGGTATGACCTGCCCTGGCACGTCCCCCAGCACGCCACTCGGCGTGGCACGTTCCCTGGTTCGTCTTCAGTCGCGTTTCCCTGCTCGTCCCCAGGCGTTTCCCCTGCCCGTTCCGTGGCGGGCCCCTTGCAACGTCCCTTGGCATGATGTCCTCTGGCCGCCCCATGGCACGCGCTTTGGCACGTCCCGTGGCAGGTCCCTGACACGACCAGGGCACGTCCCCCGATGCGTCCCCTGACACGTCCACTGGCGCGTCCCCTCTTGCGCCCCTGGCACGTCCTGTGGCGCGTCCGCGAGCCCGTGCCTCGTGTCATGTCGTTCGCGTTCGGAGCTGAGTCGGGTTTTGAAGTCGAGTTGATAGAACGTCCTCCACGTTTCCACTTCAACTAGCTCTGGGGCGGCTACTCTGTGCTCAGGCAGCCCGAACGTAAGATCCAGATCAGTTCGGCCAGGACTCGAATGCCAAGGAGGACTCGATGCACAAAGCTGTGGAGCACAATCGCGGCACGGCACATCGCAGCTCCGCACGGCACAGCACGGCACAGCCCTGGGCACGGCACACCAAGATCGATACACTCAGCGTTGCCATTGCCCGTCGCCCGATCAGGTGCCTCGAAAACGCTGCCGTGCCTCACATTCCCACGGTCACTTCTCCGGGCTCGTGGGTCGATCATGTTCGAGACCGGGAGCGGCGTGGCGCCCTCCTGAGGCGCCCTCTCGGGCCCTGTCTTGGGGCGTCCAGGGCCGCCTCGGGCCGCTCCCGCCCGAGCCGGCCTTGGCCCTTTTTTGGGGGGGGGTCCAGAAGCCACCCCGAGGCCTCTGAAGCAAAAAAGCAAGCAAAAATGATGAACTTCCCCAAGCGGAAATTACCATGGGATTTTGCTTGGGCGTTTTAGGGCCATGGCTCTGGCTCGCATGTCACCGAAAAGGTGGCACGATCTGAGCTGACGCTGAGGAAGGAGGAGGAGAAGAAGAAGAAGAACGAGGAGGAGAAGGAGGAGGCGGAGGAGGAGGAGAAGAAGAAGAAGAAGAAAGAGCCTCCTCCTCGTCCTCCTCCTCCTCCTCCTCCTCTTCCTCCCCCTCCTCCTCGGCCAGTCGCGGGGATGGCGCCCCCACTGGCTCTCTGGGGGCCGCCCAGAGGGGGACCGTCCACGGTCCAGTGCGCCCCCAGCCTCGTCTTGAGGCAGGCCCTGAGGTGCGACGCGGGCCGAAGGCTGCCCGCGCCCTCTGTGGGGGGGAGCAAGAGGAGGGGAGCAGCAGGGGCGGCCGGGAGGGGAAGGGCTGGTCGAAAGGGCGGGCAAGGCGTTTCGCCTGAGACTTCTTCACCACTTATGACCCTGAAATTTGACAACTGGCAAAGTTTCGCAAATGGAAGGCAGGTCGCTTCCAGAATGTGGCTTTCGCCGTAGCGCCACGCACATTCCCTTTTACAATTTCAAGAGAGTCACGGATTGAGGGCGGCTGGTTTTCAAAATGTGGTTCTCGCCTTAGCGCCGCGCACACTCGCTTTTACAATTTCAAGAGATTCACGGATTGAGGGCGGCTGGTCTTCAAAATGTAGCTCTCGCATCAGCGACGCACACATTCGTTTTAAAAAGTTGCTAGAGCTTCCTGGATTGAGGGCGGTTCGCTTTCAAAATGTGGTTCTCACACTAGCGCCGCGCATGTTCGTTTCAAAATTTTGCAAGCGCTTCCCAAATTCGAATGGTCCACGTGCCAAAAATTTGGGCTTGTTGTGAAGGTGCAACAGTTTCGTTGGTTCGCTGTGTTGAAGTCCCAGGAATGGTGTTCTGGCACGGCTCAGGACCGTCAAGATGCAACAGTCAGGGCCCGTGGCATTGGAGCCCAAACAATGTTGTTTCGGCACGCTTCTGGATATTCAAACGGTTGTCTTCGAACGGAGCGTTGATGACTCCGGTCCTCTTCGTTTGCCGTCGACGGCGCCACAGAAAGCGAGCAACAGGCAGTGGCCAGTCCTGCAGCTGCTGGCCGAGAGCGATCGATCGGAATCATCCGAGCGCTCTCCGACCGCGGGCACGTGGGGGACCTCGTCCTCTCGGAGGCAAGGGGCCGCCACGACAGGTCGAACGCGCTCCTCGCCCGCCGCCCTCGCCGTCCGATCCCCCGACTCCTGGGCCCCCCCGACGCATGGAGGCGCGGAAGCCTTCAGAGCCGAGGCCTCTGCACAGGAGCTCGAGGGACGCGGGGCCAAGCCAGGGGCCAAGACTTCACCCGAGCACGGCAGCAGGGGCGCAAAACTGCACGCGGGACGCGTGGCGGAAGGGCCTACCTTCTCCTCGCCACAAGCGCCGACTGCGCTCACCACCGCCGGACGGGAGTTGGCGGCGCGCCTGGGGGGAAATAAGAAGGGGCGGGCCTTCTCGGAAGGCTCGCAAGTCCCCCCGCCTTCTGAGAAGCTTTCTGGGCATTCCCCGAAGACAGAAAGAACTTCTCAGAAGGCGCGAGGGCTTCTGAGAAGTCCCGCCGCTTTCTGAGAAGGCCTTCTCCTTCTCAGTTCCCCCCCTCGCCCGCCGCCGAGGGAAGGCAAGGAGGAGGGACGGCAGGCACGGCGGGCCCCGCACCCCCCTCGCGAGGGGGCTCCCTCGCAGCACACCAGGTCGCCCTTTGCTACGGGGGGGGGCTCATGGAGGCCATCTCCGGCCCCCCCCCCCCGATCGCAGGGATCAGTCGCGCTACGGGTCGCCCCCCCAGGGGCGGTCAGCCCGCCAGGAGGGGGAGAGGGAAGGACAGGGGAGACCGTGGCGGGGTCGCCTCCCCAGGGTACGGCGATTCCCCCTCCACGCTCGTCTCCGCGAGCGCAGCACTGAAACAGTCTCTTGACTAGGTCGAGGCCAAGAGTGACGCCAGCTTTGTCGGGGTGCTTCCCTTGCCTGACGTTGTTGCAGTTGCGGTTGCCTGCAACCGTCGGGGGAGCACGCGGTTCCCCAAGCTTGAGAACCTGGGACCTCGAAGAGTAAGCACGGCAGCTAAAACAAGCGAAAATGTGAGAGCCGCCGCTGGATTCCAAAGCAATGACGCAGTGCCGAAGCCGATCGAGTACGACTGAGCCGAGCCTGCTGTAGACACGGCACGAGCCCTCGGCTGGACAAGAGGGACTGACCGAACCTAAACGACACGCACGACAGCGCCAGATTCCAGCCATCTTGCACCACTGGTGCGGATCTCTGTTGACGGCAGGAGGAGGAGGAAGAGGAGGAGGAACCCCCTCCAGCCCCCGACACCCTACACAAGGAAAGAGAGGAAAGACCGCTGCCGCAAGGCCCATCACACA